GGAGCATGGGCTTTTGAGTGAGACCCTCTGGATTTGGATATAAGCTCTACCACTTCCAAGCTATGTATCCTTGGGTAACCCCTAAGCTTCCTTTTCTTCATTTGGAAAGTGTTATATTAGAACCTGCTCTGTATGGGCTTTTGAGAATACAAAATTAGATGATATGAGTTAAAGTACCCAGTTCAGTGCTTAGAAAAAAATAAATGTTCAATAAATGTCACCCCCAAAAAAGGGGGAAAAGTGATAAACATAACTTTATTAAGTCAACTATTTATTTTATACTGTATTCTTTTGAAATCGTAATAGTGATAAATGTGGATATGTGTGAGTGTGTGTATACATACATATAAAGAAACTATAAAACTGTAAAACATTATTGATAATTTTTTATTTGAATGCAAATGCTGGAGCATCTTTTCATGTGTCTGTTAGCCATCTGGATGTCTTCTTTGGAAAAATGAGTATCCATGTCTCTTGCCCATTTTGTAACTGGGTTATTTGTTTTTTGGGTGTTGAGTTTTATATTTTCAATTATACTGTTGGTGGGAATGCAAACTGGTGCAGCCACTATGAAGAACATTATGGAGGTTCCTCAAAAAGTTAAATATAGCACTATCCTATGATACAGCAATTTTTGTTTGAAAAAAATCATCATATATACTCCAAATACATAGACAAGTTGGATAAAAATTACAACAACAACAACAAATTACAACACCCTTCCCGCACAGTTTTGAAATTGCATAGTTGAGTTTGAAGTCAAACAAAGAAACTCTCTAGGGGTCCTAAACAAAGAGGAAACTCAAAGCCAGAACAATAAACAGTGTTGAAGCCACATGACCCATAGAGGAATCAGATACAGATGTAAGACAAAATCTGGGGTATTTTTTTCTTTTTTTAAAAAAAGATTTTATTTATTTATTTGAGAGAGAGAAAGAGGGAGCAAGAGAGTGAGCAAGAGGGGCGGCAGAGGAGTAGCGAGAGGGACAAGAAGACTCTGTGCTGAGCATGGAGCCCAACACAGGGCTTGATCTCACAACCCTGAGATCATGACCTGAGCCGAAATCAAGAGTTGGAGGCTTGACTGACTGTGCCATCCAGGTGCCCCTTTTTCTTTTCTTTTCTCTCTCTCTCTCTATATATATATATAAAGATTTTTATTTATTTATTTGACAGAGATAGGGAGAGAGCACAAGTAGGCAGAGGGGCAGGCAGAGGGAGAGGCAGAAGCAGGTTCTCCGCTCAGCAGGGAGCCCAATGCGGGACTCGATCCCAGGACCTTGGGATCATGACCTGAGCTGAAGGCAGCCACTTAACCAACTGAGCCACCCAGGCGCCCTAAGATCTAAAGCAAATACAATAAAATGTTAAGATATGACTAAGCTGGGTTGCAGGTACATGGGTGTCCATTATCTTTTCCTTCATAATTTTTAGTTATGATGAAATATTTCTTAATGTTAAAAATGCACAAAAAATGAAGTTAATTTTAGGAAGTTATATGTGCTCTAAAAGTACTTCTCAAATTTTAATGTGCATATGAATTACCTAGGGAGTTCTTATTAAAATGCAGATACTGAATCATTAGGTCTGGAGTGGGGCCTGAGATTCTGCATTTCTAATTAGCTCCCAAGTGATGTCAATGCTGGTGGTCCACGGACCACTCTTTGAGTAGCAAGATTTTAATGGAAATTAAACAAGGCAATGTGATAGCAGCAGGGACAGGAAATAGTTTCTTTAAAGAAGGTACTCTTGAAAAGCTTCTCTAAACAATGATATTTGAGTCATTAAAAAGTCTCAAAGAAGGGAGGATGTTCCAAGTAGAGGAAAAAGCAAGTGCAAAAGCACTCAGGTGGGAATAACTTCTAGCATTTTCTAGAAACAGAAGAGGCCACTGTAGCCTTCTTAAAGGACTTAAGTGTTTCTTCCACATTTCAGGTGTAATTAAGTGAAAATATCACAGTATTTGGAGTCATAAAACCTAGGTTTGGTTTTCATCCCATTAGCTCTGGGACCTCTGTCAAGCCACATAAATATGTGTGTTTCCTCATAAATATGTGAATATATTTTTAAAGATTTTATTTATTTATTTGACAGAGAGAGAGAGAGAGAGAGAGAGAGAGAGAAGGAGCACAAGCAGGGGAGTGGGAGAGGGAGAAGCAGACTCCCCGCTGAGCAGGGAGCCTGATGCAGGGCTTGATCCCAGGATCCTGGGATCACGACCTGAGCTGAAGGCAGATGCCTAACCAACCGAGCCACCCAGGTGCCCCTAAATATGTGAATATTAATGAATAATGCCTATTCTCCAGTGTTGATGTGGGTATTAAATAAGATATTAAAAAGCACTTTGTAAATTGCAAAATACTATACACATGTAAGTATAATTATTGCATAATTAAAGTGCTGTCATGTGATCTGAGTCTCCAACAGCTATTTATAGTGCTTTTATTGTGTGCTCCTATGTCTCTTTAATTATTTTAGACACTTATGTGTCAAGTTGCTGTAGGCCAACTTGGCCTGTCTGTTGCTGCAGTTCTAACAGCGCACAACTTTCACTATGCTTCATGTTCTATTTCTGGGTACACTGAAAATTTTCTTTGACTCATTTGGCTCATGTTTGACCCACTTTAGCTCCTTACAGAGTAACTACTTGGATATTCCAATGCTAGTCATATTTCTTAATCAGAAGAGTTGACTTTCAGTGAATACTACTTCAGTAAAAATATGTTGACTCCATTCAAAGACCTCATAACTGTTGATCCATGCCAATAATGCCTTTAGATAATTCTAATGAAACTTCTCAAGAATCCTGAGAAATCATCTATAGGGTTAGGTGTTTCAGAATTCTGAGGTCTTAGCTCATTTAAAATCTTATGATTCTATATGGCCCCTAGAGACTTTCAATCAAACCTTGTCTTTGAGTATAGACAACATCTTTAGTGTAAAGAACAGCGTAATAGCAGCCATAATACCTCTGTTCTAATTCTGACTCTAATACCACATGGCCCTGGTCTTCTTTATCTACTAGGAATGAGGAATACCCCCAAAAAACTATTGTTAAGAATGAGCAAAATAATGTGTGTTTCTGCAAGTATAAAAATTCAAAATATTATTTTGCCACCTTCTATCTAACAATCTCTCACAGGATATAATGGTACATAGATTACTATATATATATATATATATATTTAGATTTTATTTATTTATTTGCTAGAGAGAGCATAGGTGAGAGAGAGTGAGCGAGAGTACAAGCAGGGGGAGCTGCAGGCAGAGGGAGAAGCAGGCTCCCTGCTGAGCAAAGAGCCCGATGCGGGACTCGATCCCAGGACCCTGGGATCATGACCTGAGCTGAAGGCAGCCGCTTAACTGACTGAGCCACCACCCAGGTGTCCCTAGATTACTATATTTTTTTAAAAAATTAGCGCATTATTGGACAATGCTTTACCTGGGTAGAAAGATTCAGTGGCAACATAATTATTTGCCTGTCTTGTGTAAAAAGTTTGAGAACACAGCAGTGAATATAAAATTGCAACTGCATCACTGCCTACAGGATTTTAGGCAACGCTGACACTTGGAGATGCAGTTTTCCAGACAACTGTAAATATATTTAAATATTTTGTTTGATGATAGTGGTGAGTGATGTAAGAAAAGACCTTAGGGTTCGAAGCCAACGGCCAAGAAAGAATTCTAGAAATGTCTTTGGTGCAAGAAGAGTGGTTTTATGAAAGCACAGGGACAGGACCCATGGGCAGAAAGAGCTGCAATGGGTCATGAGGAGTGGCCCATTATATACTTTCAAGTTGGGAGGGGGTTAGGGCTAGCATAAGTCTCTAAGGAATTTTGAAAACAAGGTTTCCAGGATCCTGAGGGGGCTAGCTATTGTTGGGAAAGGTCATTTATTACTGTTGAGTAAAAACTCAGTCATGAGACTCTTCAGATGTGTATCTGTGGGTAATATGCTTGGAGGGTGATGGCCAACATGTACCTGGGGTGATGGGGGTAGAGATAAAGGAAATTTCCAAAGGAATTTTTATATGTTAAAGTAGACTTACAGGATCCTGGGGGTGGGGAGCTAAGATGCCTTTTGCCCTTAGCAAAGTATTAACACGGAGGCAGCTGAGTTCCTAGAGGAATGTCACTCTGCCTGTTTCAAGGATTTGTCAACGGGTTGTAGATAGTAAGGAAATTTAATAATTTTTCTTCTGCCTTTGTTTCCCACATCAGTGAGAAAAGAATATAAACCTGTCTTTAAACATGGGCTTTTCTACATACATTTGCAGAAACCAAATGGAAGAGCTAGAGAGCGATGCAAATTAGCAAAGATGTGTGTGTCTTTGTGTGTGTGTGTAAAACTGTCCCAAGAGCAACAGACCAAAGGAAAACTGCCCCAAGGTTTGCGCAAAAGTGAACAATCAGCCTGACACTCAACCATCAGCTTTCAGGGGTTTCAACCCAGTGTATCTCACGGTTCATGAAGTCTCCTCCCTGGGGAAGTTAGTATCCCTAGTTTAATCTACCCTAAGAGTTAGTGCTACGGAGAGTGAAGATAAGAATATGCAGAGGGAAAATGGAGTGAAGCGTCGCACTGAGTTGGAGGCTGTAAGAGAAAAGTGGAATGCTTGGACAAGATAGGGTTGGCAGATCTAGCAAAATGCTGTATTTGAGACATAATTATACTAAAAAAATGACTGGTTTATCTCAATTTAACTGCGCAGCCTGTATTTTATGTGTAAAATCTAGGAAAACAGAGAAAGACAACGTTATTCTGATATTACCCGCTGTGTATTTTACCCTGAAAGATAAAAACGGTTGAGCCCAAGCGTCTGACTGGACTCTTCCCTGAGAAGCTATTTCCGGTCTGGGGCCCCGAGAAAACGAGGGGGAGGGGAGCGAAGATTAAGGTAGCGGGGTTGGGTCCGCCAGCGTCCCAGAATCCTTTGCTCTCGGTTCCTCTTTCCTCGCTCAAGATGGCGCTGCTCGCGATACCTTCTTCACGCTGGGCAGTCGCAGCGGCCGCTTTCGAAAAGCGCCGGCATGTCGTGTTTCTGATCCGGTCTCTAGTCTCTGTCCGTGGCGCAGGTTCTCAACGGAGATCACGTCAGCGCGGCGCTTCAGGAACCGCTCGAATTTCCCAGGTGAGATGCCATTCACATGGTAGAGTAGGGTGAAGGACAAAGGGATCTATAGGGAAAAGTTTGCCCTCGTGTCCTTGGGTCAGAGAGAACGCCAAGAAGAAAGGTTGTCAGGGCTAACTCGAAACATCAGTAAGTGAAGGAAATTGGGGTTAGTAATTTGAGGAAGGGGTGAAGAAAACCTTCGTGGTATAGCACAGGGGAATGGGACGGAAGGTTTCGGGCAGAGGGCACCTAAGCGCTAGGGACTCTCTTAGGATTTACATGTTTTTTTTCTTCTGAGTTTAAGAGATGGGGTAGACAGGATTCCCAGATTGCTTATCCTTCTAAATGCAAGGAAAACTGGGCTACTTTCCAAAGTTAGTGATGGAATTTGGAACCAGTATGTCCATGGTTCAGATTTTACTCATTTGGAAGTAGCAATGAGGGGGGCACTGTAAGATGACGGCAAACCTACCTGTAAACAAGAGGCAAGTTGAGTTGGCACCAGTTAACTCTCTGCTGACAGTGCTTCTTGATAGGCCAAAACCTTAACTGTCTTTCTTTCCAAAACATTGACCGCCCTAAATTCATATGTAAACACGATTGTCCTTTGATCTGAAAATAGTGTTCTGTGCATACAGGTCGCTTTGGAAACCATAAAGCTAGTTTTCTTCAATTAATGAATAGTTTTTGTTGTAGTGCCTCTTAATATTTGTGTCCATTGTTATCCCTCACTCAGCGGTTTAAAAAAAATTATTTGTACTTGTACTTTAGTATATCTTTTATTTCCTATATATTGACAGAAAGTTTAATTCCCACCACTTCTTCATCAGTATCACTGAAGTATTGTCGGTTTTGTATGAGAAGCACCCTCATAAATTTTGATTCTGCGTGAACAGATATTTAATATCTATTATGTACTTAGGGCTATGCTCGATAATGGGGGTACCAAGAGAAACATATCTTAATGCCTTCAAGATTGATCAATTTAGTTAAGGAGATTGAATCTATCCATTACAAGAATAACTAAAAGACAATGTAGGTTAAATATCAAATGAATAGTATAAACAATAAAGACAGTAAGCATCTAGAGGAAATGGTGATAATTAAGGACCAGATTACAGAGAGGAGCTCTTGCTGGTGATAGAACTGGGGAGAACATTTTAAGCAGGGAGAATATGGAATGACACTAGGCATGGGGAGTGCTGGAGAAATTATATCCATTTGTTCATCCAATAATTACTGAACACCTTTACAGCAGTGAACAGAATAAAATATAGGCCTATCCTTAAAGAGTTTAGAATCTAGTAAGGGAAAAAGGTAAGTAAACAGGCAGATATAATACAGTAGTGCAGTGATGGGGAGGGTACAAAGTACACATATACAGAGTATACGTGAAGGGCATCAAGTCTAATTTTGAGGTGGGAAAAATGCCTTGAGTAACTGATATCTAAGCTAAGCCAAGACCTTAAAAATGAAGAGAAATTAGCTAAAGAGGGAATAGTGTGTGCAGAGGCCCGCAGGTAAGAGAGAACATGGACCTTTTGTAGAACTACATATAATTTTAGGTTACTGAAGAGTTTAAGAAAGAAGTGGCAGATTAGGCTAGGGGAACAAATCCAGATCATTTTATTAAGGTTTTAAAAACACTTTATAGTTGAAAGTTGTAACACATCATTTCTTGGGAACCATTCTTGTTCTGTAGTCCTCTAAAAAGTCTGATGAAGTTAAGATAAAATTTGTAGGACTTTGTCAGGCTGGGAGGTTGAAGGGGATGGAGAAGTCATTGGGAGTTTCAGAGGAAGTGATGGAAATAAAAAATTAGCTTTCTCTGTTTTCATGAACACTGTCGCCACAACTTTCTTCCTCCACTGTCTTCTGTATATCCTACCATTCCTTTTGGTTACCATTTCCAAAGTGTGAAAAACAAGGGAAAGATGTTACTTTTGTTTTCTACTTCTTAAAGGCATGCAACTCTTGCCATAATTTAAAAAAAATGTAGATTTAACGGGGAGATGAAGGAATGGTTATAAGGCTTTTAGTAGAATCTGATATAACCTGAGGCACCTTCACATAGTGACTTGTGATTACGATTACAAAATAGGGGCTCCTGGGTGGTGCAGTCGGTTGAGCGTCTGACTCTTGGTTTCAGCTCAGGTCATGATCTCAGGGTTGAGAGATTGAGCCCTCCATTGGGCTCTGTGTGGAGTCTGCTTGGGTTTCTCTCTCCCTCTCCCTCTGCCCTTCCCCCCTCCAATAAATAAATCTTTAAAGAAAGATTACAAAATAAATATTAATACATATTTTTTAGGACAGTCATTATTATATAGCATAATATTTTAGAGCTGAAAAGAACCTTAGTGCAGTGTTATGAAATCATGTTAATAGGTTGGATCAGCACTTTTTTATATGAAATTCAGTAGAATAAGAAAAAAAATATCAGTACTTTATACATATTAAGGGAAGTAATGCCTTATGTACTATTGTTTTTATGTGTATATATATATACACACACCCCCACATGTATGTGATTACTGGGATGCATTGTAAAATGTGTTTTTCACACAGGATTATACCCTAGAATTATGCTGTGCAATATGGTAGTCACTAGCTTCATGTGGCTGTTTAAATTTAAATTAAATTAAAAATGTAATTCCATTAGCTGCATTTCAAGGGCTAAAAAGCACATAGGTATGGAACATTTCCATGGTTGCAAAAAGTTCTGTTCAAACGGTGCTACTTTAGAGAAGATCATATCCAGCCTTCTAATTTTACAGATGAGGTAACTATATCCTAGTATAGATAAATGACAGCCTTTAAGGCCACTCATTCATTTATTGCCTTCTGTGTGTCAGGTATTGATAAGAATATGAAGGTAAATAAGATTCTGGCAGACCTTAAGCATACAGTAAATGTTGAATTGTAAAGATATTTCCTTTTTTAAAGATTTTATTTATTTGAGAGAGAGAGGAGAGAGTGAGAGAGAGCACGAGAGGGAGGAGGGTCAGAGGGAGAAGCAGACTCCCGCTGAGCCAGGAGCCCATCACCGGGCTGGATCCTGGGACTCCGGGATCATAACCTGGGCTGAAGGCAGACGCTTAACAGACTGAGCCACCCAAGTGCCCTCTAAAGATACTTGTACTAGAGCACTGTTAATAGAGGGAAATACCTTAAACATTAAAGTTTTTTATTAAAATTGTTAGTATGGTAAGATTTAAATTGTAATGATTTATTATACAATTGTCTCTCTACTACATTAGTTAATATTAAAAAGACAAATTTTGAGTGATAGAATTTTTTTCATCAATAATTATATGGTAGAAACTGAGGTATCATACAGTTAGTCCACAGCACTTTTTATCTAAGTTTAAAAAGTTCTTAATTCTTGATCCGGACACTGATCATAACTTTTCTTCATTTGCTTTTTAAAAACATCTTTTTTGAGATTAATTCACATACTATATAATTCACCCATTTAAAGTGTGCAATTCAGTGGATTTTAGTATATTTAATGATCTGTACCACTGTTACCGTAGCCAATTTTACATTTTTATTACCTCAAAAACAAACTTGCTATCCTTTTGGCTATCACCCCCTATCTCCCTCCCTCACCAGCCCTAAGAAACCACCAATCGATGTTCAGTTTCTATAATTTGTCCATTTTGGACTTTTCACATAGATGGAATCCTATAATACGTAGTTTTTTGAGACTGGCTTCTTTCAGTTAGTATTATGTTTTCAAGGCACATCCATGTTATGGCATGTATTAAGTATTTCACTTGTTTTTATGGCTAAATAATACTCAGTGTGGATATACAATATTGTCTTTATGCATTTGTCAGTTGGTGGGCATTCAGGTTTTTTTCCCCATCTTTTGGCTGTTAGGAATAATGCTGCTGTCAACATTCATGTACAAGTTTTATATGTACATAAGTTTTCATTTCTCTTGGGTATATATCTAGGAGTAGAATTGCTGGGCCATATGGTAACTGTGTTTAATTCTATAAGGAACTGCCAGACTGGTTTTCAAAGGACTACACCATTTTACATTACCATCAGAAGTACAGGAGGATTCCAATTTCTCCACATCCTCACCAATAGTTATTCTTATCTTACTTTTTTAGTTTAGCTATCCTAGTGAGTGTGACGTGTTCTCTCATTTTGGTTTTGATTTGTATTTCCCTGATGACAAAAGACACTGAACATCTATCCATGTGCTTATTGGCCATTTAAGTATCTTTTTTTGAGGAAAGTCTAGTCAGGTCTTTTGCCCATTTTTTAATTGGGTTACCGGTCTTTTTATTGTTGTCAGAGTTCTTTATAAATTACAGATTCAAGTCCTTTATCCGATACATGATTTGCAAATATTTTCTCCCATTCTGTGGGTTATCTTTTGACTTTCTTTTTTTTTTTTTTTAAGATTTATTTATTTATTTATTTGACAGAGAAAGACACAGCGAGAGAGGGAACACAAGCAGGGGGAGGGTCAGAGGCAGAAGCAGGCTCCCTGCCGAGCAGGGAGCCCGATGCGGGACTCGATCCCGGGACTCCAGGATCATGACCTGAGCCGAAGGCAGTCGCTTAACCAACTGATCCACCCAGGCGCCCATCTTTTGACTTTCTTGATAATGGCCTTTGAAGCACAAAAGCTTTTCATTTTGATAAAGTCAAATTTACCTATTTTTTCTTTTGTTGGTCATATTTTTTTGTGTTATAGCTATGAATCCATTGCCAAATCTGAGGTCATGAAGATTTACCTGTTTTCTTCTAAGAATTTTATAATGTAATCCTAGTGAGATATAGAAACATTACTCTTGTATAGTCTAGTTCCGTTTCCCCACTTTGTTGTTTTATTTTCATAAATATTACATTTATAAATGTTACAATCCTAACAATACATTATCATCATTATTACTTTATATAATTTATGACTTTAAAAGATGCTGAGAGAAGAAAGGAAGTAAATATTTATTTTGTTATACTAGCCTTTGTATTTATCATTTCTAGTTCTCTTCATTTCT